TAAAACTGATGATGAAAATTAAAAAAAAAAGTCAGCTGATGGCAGTCCTTCCATTGTCCTAGAAAATTATAAAACTTGGTAAGCTGGGACAGTCTTGTACCCTTTCCATAATGATATGAGGCCCCTCCTATGAAAGCTCTGCAGGACGCAGTCTATGGGTTGGGCAGCCATCCATCTCTTTGTCCTCCAAAGTGGGATTCATTAGATGTCGGAACAAGGTAACCTCAGGCGTCTGCCATCACCTGGGCTCTGCCTACTGCTGGTCTCCACCTCCCATCATCTCAATAGAGACTGAGATCCCAGGCAGCTTGGGCTGAATAAAGGGTACCACTCTGGATGTAAAGTCCTGAACCAATGCTCAATTCAACCACTTCAGGTTTTCTTATGCTAAAATGGATGACTCTATGGACCTCCTTAATCACCCCTCCGCCGGGGCCCCGAGGCGTGTGTGTTAGGGATATGATAATGTAGTCGTCTTGATGACCCTGGCAATGGGAGCTGCCAAGCAGTGCTACCATGAAGTAACCAAATCCTCCAGTCCTGTAATACAGTTTGGTATCAGTGTCAGCCCTGCACCTGCACAGACAGTACGAAAGCTGACCATGTGCCAGTCGAGTATATAAGCCCAATGCTGCAAAACTAAACTTAGGTTACAGCATATTTCCTGATCTTTTATGTGAGGCTGCTCGGTGCTGGTATAAAATTCTCCCTGCCGGCTGAAGTTTACCCATCTCCCCAAAGGGTCCCATAGAAACTGTACGGCGGGCCCACACTAACACCACTGTGTCTAAGTAAAAGAAAATAAAATTCAAGTCTGGACTTTTTGAGACTATCTATTCCCACCATTTCTCGACACTGTTGTCACATAAAAATGAACTATGCTTTTCTTTCTCATGTTGAGGCTATTGTGAATCTCTCTTCATTTCCAAGACCTCGGCCTCCTACAGCACTGCATATGAAATAAGGGAAACTCACTGGCATTTTTAGTTTACTCTGGATATGCCTGTTCTTGCCATTTCTTTTATTTGGATACTTAGAATTTCCCATTCACAAGTCCTGAGGTGCCCATCCTCTCAGGGACCTTTTTTTTTTTTTTTTAAAGTAGTGGAGCCCAACACAGGGCCCAAACTCACAACCCTGAGATCCAGACCTGAGCGGAGATCAAGAGTCGGATGCTTAACAGACTGAGCCACCCAGGCGTCCCTCTCAGGGACCTTTTACCCCCAAGAACGAGACACATGAACTTGCACCAAAGTCCAAGGTGGCAAACTTCCCATAATACTTAAGTCTAACTGTCCATTGTTCCAAAATCTCAACTCAGCCTATTAAAGCCTAGATAAAGCCTTCTAACCCATGACACATTATACCATTAAGAAGCACTCTAGTTATCAGCATCAGTAAATATGCTCAATTCTCATTATTCACAGCTGTCATGCTCTCTAAAGTCTCCAAGAACACTGCGTTAACGAACACTGAACCATTGCTCCTAGGAAAAGCACACGGTTAGGTTCCTTTGAGCCACTGGTTGCATTTTTGTCAACTGATCAATACATAGCCTTGTTTTAGGTGTTTCTGTTTAAAGACACCTTATGTGATATCTATTACTGATTCACTCACATTGAGTTCATGGCCAACAGCACTATAATTCATGCCTGAATGAAACTTATCTAAAGCACATATTTTCTCCTCGTATTTTTTCTGAAAGGCACATCACAGCCTCCTTGCTCTTGGGAACACTATGCTGGGGGGCCAGTATAAACACCAAAAACAACAAAAAGCCCCCAAATGAGAAAAATGTGGCACTAAATAGACCAGAAGTAGGAGTACAGTGTGAGAGCTGAAACAAGAAGTCAGAGTCTTGACTTGCCTGACCTCACCTGGGAAGACTCAGGTTTTTCACCACTCTGTGCATGTGCAGGGATGACGGAGAAAGTCCTGCAAGTTCAGATTCAGGCGTCCAAATAAATTTTAGTAAGTAGATGAAGAAATCCGAGAATGGACTGTATCTGGTTATCAGACCTGAGGCATGAGACACAATGCATTCTACAAGGTTCTCCTCCTTTGCAAAGGAGTTGTCATACTGCGTCCCAGGTAGCAAGAATTTTTCTGGTTTCAGCACCTCCCACTTATGCTCCTGCCTGCCTTTCTTACCTTGACAGATCATACTCTCAAGATCTGGCAGCCCAATTTTTCTTTCTTTCTTTCTTTTTTTTAATTTTACTTATTTATTTGTCAGAGAGAGCACTAGAGCACAAGCAGGGGGAGCAGCAGGCAGAGGGAGAAGCAGGCTCCCCGTAAGGAGCCTGATGCGGGACTCGATTCCCGGACCGTAAGATCATGACCCAAGCCGAAGGCAGATGCTAATCTGACTGAGCCACCCAGGCGTCCCATTGGCAGTCCAATTTCTAAGCAGTTGTTGTTGCTGTAGTTGTTTCAATGTGGTCAGATTCTAAATTGCTACAGACCGTTGGCAGCATTCCCTTTTCTCTATTAGGCTCTCACATATCGACTTCATTACCTTTAGATGGGCTCCCTAAAACAATCACAAATGAGCTTCGGTTATGCACAAACTTAGCAAGCAAGAACCTTCTCTCTCACCAGGTTCTGCAATAGCTTATCTAACACAGGCCAAAACCAGAGTTGGTATCTTAAGATCACTACAGCGTCATAATTTTAGTTACATTAAAATTTTCCCAATGTATGTGACTTTTACTTCCTGAATTTACAACTCGTATTATTTTAGGAAGTCATAATCAAAGTTGCAAAGCAACTTTTATGATGGTTATTTTATTTTTCATTCTTCTAAGGCAAACTAGAACCTGCACAGCAAAACTACCCAGGAAAGATACTGAGGAAAGACACAAAGTAAAATCTTCCTTGGGATTTGTTTTGGCAGCCAGGAAAGGTCAGGAACAAGGCTCCATAAGCAGGTAAGAGGAATTTCCCCTTACAGCACTCTTGTCAAACAGAACATCTGAAAGTGAAAGTTTGGTTTCATAATGATGGTGTCTGTAAGAAGTGTTAAAAGTCTTCAGGTGAACTCACAGTTCTAAATCAGTTGGGGGAAGTGGCGATGACTGCCATTAAGAAGCTCCCTCAAATCTTCAAAGACCTTTATAATAACATAATGCAAACTACTTTTCGGAAAACATTATTCCTTGTAATTCCTGAACTTCTATGATGTATTGGGAACAGATACAATTACCTTCTTATAGAGGAAAATCAAATACAAAGGTTAAGTAGAAGTAACTTCTTCTGGTCACCAATTTAGTAGGTGACAGAGATTGGACTTAAAGTCAAGTCTCCAGAAATAAGCCAGAGCTGTTTTTACTACAACATTCACAGTTTTGGAATGTAGTCCATGGTTATTTATAGCAGAATTATCTTCTTAATTGTATTTTGTTGGGTCAACCTAAAAATTAGTTTGCACTCCCTTCCAAATGGAAAGCAAAAGCAAGCTGCCCCAAAGTGTGACAAAAACAGTGGCAGGGGAAATCAGCCTGGGATTAAAGTTGCATGAAAATTAAATAACAATTTGAGGGGTTTACATCATTTCTACCGTGGGGAGATGATTTTCAGCCAGATGCAACAGGAAACACACAGAAGGAAAAAAAAACCCAACCAATCAACCAACGCAAAATTGTGTCTTGAGTGTAAGACAACAAATTTCTGAAGAAAGTATTTCTAAACGCATTATTTAAAATTAAGGCATTGAGATTTAGAGATGATAAATAACTTGTTCCAAGATCGTGTGTCATCGGTACAGCCTTAAGGCACTGACCCCAAAGCTCTCTTTCAGCTACCCACGCTACCCCTCACAGTCATGCGCGGCAAGGAGGAAACAATGAGCATTACAAGTTAGTGGACTAGAGCAAAGAGTTAAAGTTTGGTATGCTAAAATGGTATGCAAAACTGACCTTCAAATACCAATAGGAAAACTATCTTTTCTTGGTTTTTGTCTTTGAATGTTCAGAGGAAAGAAATGCAAGCCTTCATTCTCGTCAAGGTAGGCTTGGATTTAGAAAAAGATTTGCAAAATCTACAAACTGGAAGACAGTACCTTTCAAACAGAGGGAGCAACCAGGGGCGATAAAAACTAGAAGAGCCGTCTCCACCGCCAGCTCCCGGGCTGCTGGTTCTTATTAACCACAGAGAAGGAAATAGAACCAGCAAACATACAGCACCAATGATCAAAGTGAAACCGATTTTTTTAATCATCTAGCTTAAATACACGAATATATGCCAGGAAAGTGCATAAAGACTAAGTTAATAGCCCAAGCAAGTACTGTCATCCTAACCTAAGACATTTCACTGTCTCAGTGTCAGGAATCAAAGGAAACTTTAAGCAAAGCAAAAAAAAAAAAAAAAAGGAAAAGACCTTTGCGTTTCGGCGAGGCCTGCACTCGGTGCTGAAGAGTGTGCCGTTTTGTTTTGGGGAGGGGCAGGGACTATATGAAGAGAAAAGAAAGACCCGTCCCAGCTGCCCGTCCTCAGCCCCTTCCCGCAGTCCTGAACCCAGCCCTCCTTTGCCGCTGGCCAGGACCAACGGTCTACAAGGCGCGCCGGGCCCCCTCCCCGGCCCCGTGCCGTGCACTCCCAGGACGCCTTCCTCGTGGGACCCCCCCCCCCGCCCCGCCAGGAGCCGGACCTCCCTTCGAAAGCCCTGAAGCTTCGGCTCCCGCTGGGAGCCTCAAGTTGCCCCGCGAGAACCAGCCGCCTCCTCCCTCCAGGAGGACGCCCTCAGTCCTGCTCCGAGTCAGCCCACCCGGACTTCCCCCGCAGGCCAGCCCTCACGGGCCCGGTTCTCCCGCACTCACCGCCGGGCGGCTCTGGGCTCGCCCGCCTCGGGCCGGCCGGGCCCCGTGGGGGACGGGGGCGGGGGTGGAGGCGGGGCCGCCGAGCGCGCGGGGCGCACTCCGGGGGCGCGCCGACGCACAGGCGCGCTCGCGCCCGCGCTCCCGCACTGACGCCCCCTCCGCACACCCACACGCACACGCGGGCGGCGCGCGCCGAGCCGGCTCCGCGGCGGACGCGAGCGCGGAAGCGCGAGGAATCCTTGGAATGAGGCGCCGCCCGCCCTCAGCCGGGCTCTGCCGGGCTCCGCCTGGCCCGCCAGGACACGCCCCCGGACACGCCCCTCCCACCGAGCAGGTGGGCGGCCGAGCCCAGGTGAGCGGGCAGGGAGGCGGGGGCGGGGCCTCGCGCGCGGAGGAGAGGCTTGTTTCCCCTCCCCCGCCCGCCGCACGCCCCGCGGCGGCGGCTCCCACCTACCCAGCGGGCCGACGCGCTCGGGCGGGTAACGGCCGCTGCGGGGCTGGAGCCGCTCTGGGCCCCCGGGGGAGGCGCCAGTCCCCGAGGGCTCGAGGACCCGGCATCTCACACATATCTATGCCCCCCAAGGCCCAGCCGGTGGGAACACACCTTCAGCGCACACGCACAAGCGAACCTTTCGTGCGCGCCCAGGTGCCCGCTGCTGTGGGCCTGGCGCGTTCCTCACACGCACACAGTGGGCCCACGCACCCGGTGGACACGGCCCACGTGACACCGGCGTCCACGGTCGAGCGGTACTCCGCACCCACTGGACCCGCTGCCCCTTCACCGCCACGCGCAGCCAGCAAGTGCCAGAGCCTTTGGGCACGACCTGCAGCCCCTACGCCGCCCTCGGCTTCAGACCCGCACACGTCCTCTTTTCGAGAAGCAGCCCCTGCAAGGGCGTACAGCCCCTCCGGCGCCCGGCGCTCACACCCGGCTCACGCGCGGGACCTCAGTGCACGCGGGAGCCTCCCGCACACCCCGCTCTCCCCGCTCCCCCGGGCGCCGACCTGGACCGCTGCCTCACTTTCTCGTTACCCACACCCCCAAGCCAAACTAACCAGACGGGCCGGCGGCCACACGTACCTGCAGGTACAGGTCGCACTTGCTCGGGGAAGTGTGTGCTCAGGTGCCACTGCGATCAGAACGGCCGCTGCAGTCCGGGGCACTCAGACGCGGCTCGGTTTCCTCCCATTACAGCATTTTACACGCCACCACTCACTCCACTTCACACACGCACACTCACGCCCCAGGCGCCCTTCAGCGTCTTTCCTCCCCCTCCCTCGCCCGAAGGAGGAAGTCCTAGTAAATGAAAACAGTGTGGAAGGGAGGGAGCAGAGGAGGAAGGGAGGGAGGTCGGAGTGGAAAGAGCCCCCTCCAGCCGCTCATACAGCAGTGTTTGCTGTGCTTGGCAAACTCCAGGAGTCCACAACCCGGGCTGCTCTGAAATGTGCCCGGGGAGGGGCAGAGGGGAGGAGGTGAAACATTTCTAATTGGTGCAGGTTCTTATTACAGCAGCAGCGTAGACATGTGACTACGAAAAGAAAAGCCCTGTCTTTAATTTTTTCCTGTCATTCTCTAGAGATTTGGGGAGGGGTGGTAAGAGGGGTGGAGGCCTGATACTCCAGTCTCCGGCAGCCCTTGCCCCATTGTTTTCTCGTACTGCCACAATTAAGAAAACATTTGCTTAACATATCCAGCCGCTAACTTCATAAAATAAATAGTCAGAGACTGGACTTCCTCTGGTTTGCTTTAAATGGCTTCATGTTGCTCGCCTTCTGACTGTTCTCAAACTTCGGTCGTTATTAGGAGCTCCTACTATAGGGCTTTCCCTGGGAGAAGACTCTGCTGAGAGGCAATGATAACAATGAAAAGAAATACCAGCTTACATTAATGCTGGGGGGAGGGGAAGGGGATGCTTTGCAGTTTTCAAACTGTTTTCCCATCTATTACCTCATCTGATCATATCAAGTCACAGCATATTACCTCATTTGATCTTAGCCCCTGTTGGGTAGCAGGACAGGTATTAATAGTTCTATTTTACAGCCAGATTAGATGTTTTACCTAAAGCAGGTAGAGGTGTTGCCTGCATCAGAGCATGGGTCTTATGGCCCCTTGTAAAATACACTCCTCCAGACCACACAGGATCACTGTAAATGGGAACCCAAGTGACAAGTCAACCCCTGGTTTCCCACTCCCCGGATTAAAATTCACAGATTAAAGCCGGGAAGGCTCCCAGTCTTCCCAAAGATATTTTTACTTAGACTCCATGTTAGTTCATCAGTAGTCTCAGACTAGGAGGAAAAAAAACAAAAAACAAAAAAAAAAACCCACCATGAAAAGATCATAAAGAAGAGGTTTTCATCCTGCCAAGTTAGGGCAGGGCATGGGGAAAGAATGAGGACTGCATGGGCAGATTTCAGGAAGTGTGGCAAGACAGAAAAAGGGCTTTGGGTTTGGACAGACCTGGATTTGAATCCAAAGTCTATCTGTGTTTGTTACAGGATTTTGGGCATGTCATCAAGCTCAGTGTTCTCATCTGTAAAACAGATAATTCTTACCTTGAAGATCCACTGCAGGGACCGAGGATTAGGCAGAATATTGGATGAATACTCACATCTTCCTCCTTTCTCTTCCTGCCTTAAATCCAGTCCTGCTGTGGCACCTTATAAACAGACACCCACTTTAACACGGGGGGATGGGAAAATAATTTGCCCAGATAATGCAAATGAATAATGATAGCAATAATAATACTAGTACACATTTATAAAATGGCTTTGGGGTTTATAAAGTGTCCCCACATATCATTATCTCATTTTATTTTTATGACAATTCTGCCATTTGTATGCTGCTAAATGATTTCCATTTGGGGTCAGTGTGGAGGTCCTAAAGCTGCCTCTTTAATTTCCATCACTGCTCAGTGCAAACCCTACTCTGCAGATAAATCATGGGGACAGAGGGCCTTTTCTCATGGATGTGACCAGTCTTCGACCTTTCCAAGAATTAATCTCACTGCTTCCCTTACATCAGCATTAGTGTGACTTCGCTCTGGCAACATCTAAGCATGGTTGTTTTAGCCTGGCTGTTTTAGTTGTGCAGAAGAAAGACACACTCAAGTTATCCTAAGAAAAGGGGGGTGTGTCTTCAAGATGTAGGTGGACCGGAAGTGGAACATGTCAGGTACATAGACTATTCACATAATGGGATATTAGCAGCCTAAACAAACGACTTATGCTAACATGTAACAATAGGGGTGAATCTTTTTTTAAAAAAAAAAGATTTATTTATTTATCTGAAAGAGAGAGAAAGCACGAGTGGGAGGGGTAGAGGGAGAGGGAGAGAGAATCTCAAGCAGACTCCATGCTGAGCAGATCTCACAACCCTGAGATCAGGACCTGAGCCAAGTCTGTGGCTCAACGGACCGTGCCACCCAGGCGCCCCAATAGGGATGAGTCTTGACAATATTAGGTGAAAAAAGTAAGTCCCAAAAGATTACATACAGCATAATATCCTATTTGTAATGTTTGCAAATAAAATGAAAAAGAATTGTAGGAGTACATACACCTGCAATAACACTAATACAAAAGAAATAAGGGGATGATGACCAGAGGATTCAGAATGGTAATTACCTAGGGAAGGGACTGCATTGGATGGGTGGGAGAGGCCATTGGTTAGATGGAGGCTATCGGCAAGCTCCTTACCTTTGCGTGGTGGATTCACAGGTTCACTATTAAAAATAGCCACTTAAATGATGGTTGCACAACAGTGTGAATGCCACTGAACCCACACTTAAAAATAGTTAAAATAGTAAATTTTATGTTATGTGTATTTTAGCATAATTTAAAAAAAACAAATTGGGCAACTTTCTAAAAACAAAAACAAAACAAAACAAAACTGCTGAAGTAGCTAACTGAAAAAACAAAGATAGTTTGTACATGGACCATAATGAGAATGTGCTGCAAACCAAGGATTTTATAAATGCACCAGAAATTTATTTATTTTTTAAGTAAACTCCATACCCAATGTGGGGCTTGAACTCAGGACCCTGAGACCAAAAATCGCATGCTCTACCGACTGAACCAGGCAGGCGCCTGCAAAAATTTTTTTGTAAGATTTATTTATTTATTTTAGAGAGAGAGGGAGGGAGTGTGAGCAGGATGGGGGGGGCAGAGGGAGAGGGAGAGAATCCTCAAACAGACTCCCCACTGAGTACAGAGCCCAAAGCAGGGCTCTATCTCACGACCCTGAGATCATGACCTGAGCCAAAATCAACAGTCAAACGCTTAACCAACTGAGCCACCCAGGTGCCCCCAGAAATTTTTTTTTTTTTTAAAGAATGAAAATAATCTAGGAGGTAGGTGAGCGGAGGTTGAAAAAAAAACAAAATTTGCCCTGAATTGATCATGGTTGAAGCCAAGTGATGGGTATAGGCGGTTTTTCATACTGTTCTGTCTACTCTTGCCTGTGTTTGAAATTTTTATATTAAAACATTAAAAAATTAAAAGGAAAAGAAAATGCCAAGGACCGAAAAGAGACTCTGTGGACTATTATCCTGCCTCCTCCACAGGCCACAGTGTTATTGGCCAGTCCTCTCTCTGTTTCTCTGTGCCCCTCCCCTGTTTAATTCCTTCTCATCCCTCCACCAAGGAGCTTCCTGGTCACTTCGGCTCCTACTTTGTCCCTACTGCTCCTTTTGAATTTTGCTCCCCTGGTAATGGAATCCCTTTTTATCTTCATAGTTCAAATTGTTCATAGAGACAACCTGATTCTTCTCTTTCTACTCATCCATAGAAATGGCATCAATCTGATCTACCTTGAAGTGGAGTGTCCGTGAGGGTCTGTGAGGGCCTGTGACATCAGGCACAGTCCAGCGAGGAGGAAGGATAGGACAAGGGAGAGTGGGAACTACAGGATATATAACACAGCTGTCAGCAAGTGAAGGTGGGGAGGCACCAAGATTCTGACCAATGCAACACTTGGAAAGGCCCTCAGGAGTTCAGTCAGGTGAGAATAAGTCCTTTGCTTTTCCATTTGCTCCTTACAATTTGTTAAGGCTCTCCAATGACTCAGTATTGTAAAAAGAGGGTTTTTTCCCACATCAAATTCCCAACAAGTAGTTTATTTTCCAATATGTCCTCTCATGTCATACTTCCAAGAGGGAAATTGGGGAAACACCAAGATGGTTGCCAAACTAAAATGCTCATAGTACATAGAGACTCATTAATCTTCTCAGTGCATTAACCTGCTGAGGAAGAATGTTCTTTTCTACCCCATGGCCCTTTGCTTGTAATGTGCTCACAGGAATTTATTCTGCTCTATTCTTCTCTTCACACCAAATTGTTCCACAAAGAGCACTGAGGAGACAGAAGATATGGGTTCTCATTCAGAAGATGTGTGTTCTCTAGATGACAGTGTGAGCCCATGAAAATCATTTTACACCTATGGGTCTAAGTCTCCACACCTGTAAAGAGCTTAGATCAGATCAGGTTTGGCAAACAGGTGTCATCTTGAGCATCAGCTCTGTCTGGAGTCCTCTCTTGAGAAGGGCTCTGAAGCCACAACTGAGGTTCAATGAAAAAAGAAGTGTCAGGATTGATTAGTAATGTCTGCTGAGGGCAGGGTATAGGAACTGATGTACTGGTATTTGCCATTTCTGATTAGAGGAGCTCTAAAAATTCCTTCTAGCTATAACTTCTCTTTTCTCATTGAGTGGGAACAGGTGAACTTCTACTTTTCCAGAGGCCAAAGTAACCAGTGGAAGAACTAAAATGATCTTATTTCACTGCAAGAATACAGAATAAGAAATTATCTAAAGTAATAATGATACCTAACATTTAATAAGCACTTACTATGGTCTGGACACTGTTCTAAGTGCTTTAAAACAATTATCTAGTTTAAGGCTCACAACAGCCCTATGAGGTAGGGACTGTAAATATCCCCATTATTTAAGCGAATGAAGAAACCGAAGCACAGAGATGTTAAATAACTTGTCCAAGGTCTTAAAGGTAATAACCGTGCAACTAGAATTGAACCTCGCAGTCTAATTCTGGAGTCCACATGCTTAGCCTGTCACTCCACATCAGACATCCCCTGGGAGCTTGCTAGTAATGCAGACTCTTAGGCCCAACCCAGGCCTACTGAATTAGAATTGGCATTTCAACAAGTTCCCCAGATGATTCATAAGCACATTACCCTTTGAGAACCACTGGTCTACACCATATTGTCTCCTAGGAGGATATTAACTACCATTTTTAAATGCTTACAATACGCATGTACTGTGCTGCACATTATGCCCGTATAATTGCTTTTCATCCACATAAAAATCCTAGAAGGGAAATCCTACAAGATCAATGGATTGATCAATGTCAATATTCTTTCTTTCTTTTTTGTTTTCAATGTCAGTAATCTGGTTGTGATATTATATTGTAGTTTCACAAGATGTTACCACATGGGGAAAGGATACATAGGATCTCTCTATATTATTTCTTATAATTGCATGCAAATCTATAATTATCTCAAAATAAAAAGTGTAATTAAAAAATCCCATGATACAGGTTTTATTTTTCCTACTTTTATTGTTGAGGAAACAGAAGTTTTAAAGAGGCTAAGCAGCCCAACTCTGCAAATAAGGATTAGGGTCCTACTATGTGCAGGGGACTTTCATAGGCACTGGGGACACAGCAGCAAACAAACATTGCTCTCACTGAGCTATCATTCTATTGCAGGCAGTCAGAATTCAAACCCAGACCTGGCCTGCTAAGTAAGTCCTCTACTGCTCACATTTCGGAATGTGGTAAATAATAGGGCTATGAGTGGTTAACACATTTGCCGAATTTCTAGGCAGATGTGTATGAAAGCATCTAACAGTGCCAGGCACAAGGTAAGCAGTCAATTAATTCCCTTTCTTTCCTTGCAACCATCTCAGAGTCCACAAATGAGCCTCACCTCCACCATGACCCAACACGAATTTTACCCTTCACCCAATTGGATGGAGTCCAGTGATAGGACCATTTTGAGTAGTAGTAACCCAAGCCTCAAATTGTCTGTGGAATTCAATGAAGGTGATATTCCAAGGTTTGGAGCAGTACCATTTGAAACCTGTCAAGGAGTCAGTGGTAAGTATTTTTCTGAATGTCAGCTCTTTTCACAGCATGGTTCTGAATGAATGCTCTTAAGCAAGACTAGATTTATGGCCAGAACAATTGCTCAGACCTCAGATCTCTGAGTGATACCTATCTAACTGATCCAAAGATTGGATTCATCCTCACACAAGGAATTTTCCTTCAAATACCATAAGAACAATTCATCTTGGCAATAGATGCTTGCCGTCTTTCTTAAAGACAAACCAGTGAGGGCGCCTGGGTGGCTCAGTTGGTTAAGCGACTGCCTTCGGGTCAGGTCATGATCCTGGAGTCCCGGGATCGAGTCCCGCATCGGGCTCCCTGCTCAGCGGGGAGTCTGCTTCTCCCTCTGACCTTCCCCCTTCTCATGTGCTCTCTCTCGTTCTCTCTCTCTCAAATAAATAAATAAAATCTTAAAAAAAAAAAAAAAAAAAAAAGACAAACCAGTGGGCTGGGGCAGGAGACAATAGGAGCCATCTTCCAGAGAAAAGAATGTTGCAGATGCTGGATTCAAGGGCATCGAGAGTAACTAGCTAACTCTGAGACAGAGAATGGTTTGAGCCAGGGAACTTACCAGAAATGAGCATGTGTTTTTCCTCTGAGTGTGAAATCAGAGGACAACACCACCTAGGAAAGAAATTCTTCAAACCAAGATTGCCACATCTCTCTTGGCTCCAATTTCTTGCTTTGCATTCAGCTCTCACAAGCATGTGCTATATATAGGCAAGAAGAAAGTAAACAAGGAAGAAAGAAGATCAACATTCCTGGGTGCCAACTATGTGCAAGGCACTCTGCTGAGCCTTCGCATTTAATGTAACTTAATCTTGTGAGGAAGACATTAGCAACCCTATTCTATGGATGAAATAATGGGGGCTCAGAGAGGGTAAAAGCTTTGCCTTTAATACTGCAGAGCCAGGATTCAAACCAGCTGTCCGGATCCTGATTCGATCTTTCAATCATATCACTGTTTACCCAGAAAAGACCCTGTTGAGAATTTCTAAGTAAACCGTTAAACCAACTGTTCTAGACCAACACTTCAACTCTGAAGGGAAATGTCTCCTTTTGGTGGCCCATCCCCTGTGGGCTACCATATGGAGTTGGAATTTACTGAGGTTCTAACATCATTTTTGACATCGTTTGTCAAAGGATGGGGAAACACTTGGCACATGAGAATTGCTGAGACGTTGGCATCAGCCAGACCAGAGTTCAAACCCCAGTCCCACCATTTTCCAGCTGCGTGACATTGCACACAAGCTTGGACACTGCCCACCCGTCTATCTTCTCTCCTATACATTGGGGATGATTCCTACGTAGAAAGGTCTGGTCAAACAAATACTAAACATTGTGGTGATCATTTCACAATCATTTCACAATATGTGTAAGTCAAGACATTATAGTATCCAGTGTTGTGTGTCAATTACACCACAATAAAACTGGAGAAAAAAAAGAAAGAAAAAAGCCCTAACTGGAAAAAAAAAGATTCAGGTTTTTTTTAAGCATTAAGTACTTTAAAAAATAGTAAAATTATTTAATGGCTGTTTTTTCCACTTCATCATTCATCTGTTTGACCCTACAGTTGATTACTTAAGACAGCTCTAAAATCCAAGTCAACCCTACTTAAACTGATGAATTCATATTAGTTTGTATATTTTTAAAAAATATTTTCGTATACATTAGAACAGTTGCATATTCAATAAAAGTGGCTCCAGTTCAAAGTCTAATGTGCTCCTACCATATATAATGCTGACATCCCCAATAAGCAGACTGTGTTTGGATTTAGAGCACCACAATGTACAAACCTATTTTTGAAAGAACTTGATACATATAAATAAATAAATACTCATCTTGGGCAACCATGTCTTCATTATACTATGTTTACAGTTTAATATGCTTCTGAATTACATATATGAGGAGGCCCCATAATCTTCCCAGTGCTTATTGGCAGTAGGGGAAATGGGTTTGGGTCCAAAATAGATGAGGTTTCTGCACAGAAAGGAAAAAAGAAGGAAAAGGGTGTTTTTTTCCCTTCCAGAGTGGGAGCTTTGCGGAGAACAGTAAGCTGATGCCTTAGGGTGGTAGGTAATGTCATTTCTATACCCTTGAGGCTGCTTCAGAAGCCATAGTGCTTCTCAGCCTGCCTTCCATCTGTTTTTCCCCATCCCACTCCTCCCCCATCTCCAGGAACTTGGTGTGGACCCTGGGGTTGCACTGTGAGGGGTCTTGATCTAATTAGGGCAATTATTCCTCCCTCCCTCCTTCCTTCTGACTTCCCATCCTCCTTCCCTCCCTGCCTTCCTATTGTCTAGAGCACTTTCTGTTTGCCATTTACATTTCTAGATGTTGAAGCTGGGGCTATCAATAAAACAGACAAGGTCCTGCCCTGAAGGAGCTTATACTCTAATGGGGAGGTGTTGGGGAGGAGGTGGGAAGAGAGACAATTAGCCAGGAAACATAATTTAAGTCACATAAGTTACCTTAAAAGAGTTAAAGATAGTAGTAAGAGCAATGAAAAAATACAACAGGGACATGAAATAGAGAATGACTGGTGGTGGCCACAGAATGGCCTCAGTCTGACAGCATGATCAGGGAGGGCTTCTGTGAGGAGGTGACATTTGGGTTGAGAACTGAATGGTAACGAGGAACCAGTCATGCCACAATCTGGGGGAAGGATTTCCAGACAGGAAAAATAGCAAGTGCGAAGTCTCTGGGACAGGAGCAGGTCTGCCATGTTTGAAGAACCGTGTGAAGGCCAGGGTGACTGGACCATACATAATCAGTGAGGGGGAGAGACATTTGAGATACAGTTGGGGAAACAGGCAGGCTATAGCGAGGAGTTCAGACTTTATTCTGCGTGTAAAAGGAAGCCATTTGAGGGGGTTTAGGGAAGGAGGTAACACAGGTTTGAGTTCTTAAAAGACCTCTATAATGGCTGTGTGGAGAATAGGCTGTGGGGATGTCTTAGTCCGTTTGGGTTGTATAACAAAAATATCATGGATGGGGGAGCTTAAACAACAAACATTTATTTCTCTCAGTTCTGAAAGCTGGGAAGTCCGAGATCAAGGTGTCCTGTATATATTCGGTGTCTGGTGAGAGCCAACTTCCTGGTTCTTAGGCGGGCATTTTTTGCTGTGTTCTTACATGGTGGAAGGGGCAGAGGGGCTCTCTAGGTCTTGTATAAGGGCACTAGACTCATTCAGGAGGGCTCCACTCTCGTGACCTGATCACCTTCCAAAGGCCCCCACCTCCTAACACCATCACATGGGGACCGGGCTTCAGCATATGAATCTACAGGGGGCAAACACCCGATCTGTAGCTGGCAGGGAGATAGAGGCAAGGAGATAAGGCAGGAGATTTTCATAGTCTTTCATATGAGAGAGGATGGCAGTTCAAAACAAGAGGTGAAGGAAGCCAGGTGAACAAATTTGAGCTGTGTTTTGGTGGTAGATGTATCAGGCAATGTCAGTTACTGCAAGAGTTGACCCCAAAAGCTTGGTGGCTTTTCACATAAAGTCCAAACAGGTGTTCTAGAAGAGCCAGTGGCTGTCCGGCAAGTGCTGACTCAGGAACCCAGGATCCCTCAGTCTTGTGGCTCTGCCAGCCCTAGGACCTCAGAATCCTTTGCAGGATCTTCTTCATCCAGCAGATGGAGAAAGAGAACATGGAGAGGGCACACATGTTTCTTCACGGGCCTAAGCACAGATCACTTCCCCTTAATCCCATTGGTGATAACCAGTCACATGGCCTCACCTGAATGATGGGAAGCTAAGAAAGGCAGTCCCTGTGTGGGCAGCCACTTCCGGGCAACAGTTCTACGCTATGGGAAGGGAACTCAGATCCTTAGTGTCCAACTGGCCATTTCTGTCATGGTAGAGTTGGCACATTTTCTGGTGGATTGCACATAGGGGTTGAAAGAAAGTGAGGCCCCCAGAATGCCTTGGCTTTTGGCCTGAGCAAAGGTAGAAGGTGGTCATTAACTGAAATGGGAAGTTGGATGAGGAGTAGGTTTATACTAGAGGCAGGAGATATCAAAAGACCCATTTTGGCCACATGTAGTATGAGCTGCCTATGACACATCCAAAAGGAAATGTTGAAAAGGCAGTTGGTTATAAGTCAGGACCACAAAGGAAGGGTCAAGACTGGAGATTTAAATGTTGCATTTCCCTTTACCCAGGGCTTCTGATCCCAACCCTCCTCATACAGGTATGGGCCCCTCATTACCCTTGACCTTCAATGCATTAACTGCATCAGCATAACTTTACTCCTCTTTAGAGATAATGTTTGTAATTCTCTAATGCAAGAAATGATAACTGTTACTATTACATGCATTCACTCATTCAACACATAATTTATTGAGTGTCTACTATGTGCTGGCCACTAGTGGTTAGTAAATAGTCTCCGCCCTGTGAAGATGCCATTTTAGGAGGAGAAGATGATAAATAAAGAAGTATACCGTGTGTTAGCTGCCCTAGAGAACAACAGGGTGGGGTTAATGAGAAAATACCAGGGAAGTCAGGCGCTGGAGTTACTAGAAGCAGGAAGACTTCTATAATAAGGAACACTTGAGCAGAAACCTGAAGGAACTTGAGAGTTTGTGCAAACATAAACGCAGATGCAGGGGCTCAATCAGCTAGAAGCATTATCCAGATAACCCAGTATTTCCTTATGCCAATTTTGTGTCTATATGTCTATGTGCCTATATGGGGGAAGCATGTGCCAGGTCAGGGCAAAGCAAATGCAAAGGCCCAGAGGCAGAACAGTACCTGGCATGTTCCAAAATCAGCCACGAGGCCAGTGTGTCTGGAATAGGTGGGGATGGGGAAGAGTGGTAGAGGATGAGGTCAGAGAGGTGGGGGGTGGGCAGGCCATGCAGTAGCCAAAACAGATTTTTTTTTCCCCAACACTTTCATGTAACTGGAGAAGGAGGGAGAAAAACAAACCTATTTCCTGGTGCAGAAATCTTTGCAAAGAAAGCAACACACAATCAATAACTTCCTGTGCAGCTCCCAAAATGAAACACTTTCAAAGTGGAGGATCTGCAACCAAAATAAGAAAGGGTAACAGTTTCACAACATGGAGCACAGAACGCACAGAGTTTCCTCTTGCCGCAGGTTTTCTTCACAGTTAATTACAGCCACATGTGAAGCCCGCTGGCTCGGAGGGGAAGCATTCTTAGCAAGCGCCATCAGAGACCCAGGCACACGCTTCCCACCCCTCACACTTGGAGCAAGACCATTTGCGTGATTAGCTCAGGAGGATGGGAACCTTAAAATGCTGCAATGATAAATATTCTGTTTTCTGAATCTCAACTCCAGAACCTGAGCCAGGGGCCTTTTATTAGCTGGTTTTTAGAACATTAGAAGAAGCTGGTTTAAATGGGAAAAAATAAAAAAGTCTTTTTTCAAGGGATACACAGTTTCTCAGGCCTGTTAAATTACCTTGCCTGGTTCCCTCTTGATCTGCCCACTATGATAAGAGCCATGAAACAGAAAAACCAGCGGTGGAGTCTAGACCTTTTGAAGCTGCTCTTCATTGCTGTGGGACTCCTCAGACAGTGCTCAGCAATGTCTGCAAGCATGTGGGCAGGGCTCTACAGTGGATGCTCATGAGGTTGTCTTAGTTAATGCTGACAATCCCCGGAACTGGTCCCATGTTCTCTGTTTTGTAGGAAAGTGAACTGTGGATATCAACAAGGTCTTGGCTCCCCAGCATCTAGAGGTCCTTCCTATTTGGGAGAAATTCTTCATTGGCTACGTTTACAGAAGCCGAAGGGCGCCCCATGACCCCTCCCTGAGCCAGGAGGTGGGCAAATGGTCTAGGCTCAGCCAACTGGATGTTCCTGCCCAGGATCTTGGTGATGGCAATATCAAGAGTCCTGGAATGGTAATGCCCGGGCCAAAGTGGGGAATCCAGTGCTGGGACAGTCATAGCTCCCCCTCTGCCCCAGATGGTTCTGGGGAAGCCCTGACCACCCTCTCCAGCTCTGACCAGTTTGGTTCTCTACTCTTCCCACCTGTTTTTCAGCCACCCAATCCCCATCCAACAAACTCCATTTCTGCTTATATTACCAGAGACCAACCATTTCTGCTCACTATAACCCAGAGCCCTAGCTTAACATTAAGTAATTTGCACACCCCCAACAAAGAACAGAAATTCCGGACTCCCAGAGTTGATGTACATTGTTCTTGTTCCCGTGTACCTTGAATATGTATAACCTCCTTAGAGGCTTGTACCTAGGTCTTAAGCAGCTATCGAACACAAACACCTTAGCAAGGTAAATACAAGCAATGCCACCAAATCACCAATGTTGACATTAACAGCATGGACCTAATATGACAGATGGTGCTGCTTTATTAAATTACATAGCTGTTAATAATAGGAATGTGAAACTGACTGATATGGGCTCGTGTGTTTTCATTTTACTACTACCATGGGCCACTTGATGACTTAACTCTTCTAACCTCTTTTTTCCATTCAAACCTCAGTGAACACTCATTCATACAGCTGATCTTGAGGTCATTTGCTCTTTACTTTGCATGGGTGCACCATTCACTAGTGAAGACTACTAATGTTCTTTGGCTCTTTGGGCTGGGACCATTAAAATTGTTCTACTCAGCTCTAATGCCATTGCAAACATAAATGCAGATGCAGGGGCTCAATCAGCTAGAAGAGTCATCCAGACAACCCAATATTTGCTTGTATCAATTTTTTAAAGGTTAACATCAAGAATACTAAATTTTAAAAATTCTCCTACAAAACTCATAAATTCCTAAGACTACATTTGTAAACCTCAGTTTCAGAAATCATGGCAATGTAGTTAAGGAGCATAAGCTTTAAAAAAAGGAGTGTAAACTTTGGAGTTAAAGGAAAAAAATTCTGGTTTTGAATCCTAACCCCATCCTTTAAGAGTCTTGGAATGGTGAGCAAGTTGTAATCTGAGCCTTAATTTTCTTACCTGTAGAATGGAACAGTAATACCTATCTTTCAGGACAGTGGTATTAAACAAGATAATTGTGTAACTATAATAAATGGTAGTCATTATTGTTATAGGTATCCTAATTGACATTCAAATTGGTTAACATAGTTGCCCCAGTTCATACAACCATTTGGTCCCAGAAACAGACCTGGAGCCCAGATCCCCTCAACACCTCAAATCTTGTTTTTAAAAGCATCTGTGCTGGAGTACCTGGGTGGCTCAGTCGTTAAGCATCTGCCTTTGGCTCAGGTCATGATCCTGGGGTCCTGGGATCGAGCCCTGCATTAGGCTCCCTGCTCCGTGGGAAGCCTGCTTCTCCCTCTCCCACTCCCCCTGCTTGTGTTCCCTCTCTCGCTGTGTCTCTCTCTGTCAAATAAAGAAATAAAATCTTTAAAAAAAAAAAAAAAGGCATCTGTGCTGAGCAAGGCGAGGCCCCTAGGGGCAAGCTGCCTACCTTTTAGGGCTGTGCTCCTAGAAAGCTGCTGTGTCTGAGACATTTGCACTCTGCAGGAAATTATTCATTCCAGGTTAATTTCGTGGATGATCATTCAAAAACACATGATCACATTATTCCCCTACTTGGAAACTATCCATTATACCTATGGTTCTCCAAATGGGGTCCCCTGATCAACAGGGACTTATTAGAAATGCAAATGCAAATTCTCAGGCCTGATCCCAGACATACTCCAGCAGAAGCTCTGGTGGTAAGGACCAGTGTTCTGTGTTTCACTGAGCCCCTCGGATGATCCTGAAGCATGCTAAAGTTTAAAAACTCCTGCATGATAGGACCAAGTCCATACTTCCTTAGCACAGCATTCAAGTCTCTTCCTGTGCTGGTCCCAGGCTACTCTTCTAGCCTCCTCTCCGAACACTCCTGAAAACACTTTATGCTCCAGCACCATCAGACTTTACTTTCTGTCTTAAACGTGACAGGCCCTCTTATGCCTTAGTACGTGCAGTGCATTTCCCTCTACTGGGCATTTCTCCAAAAAGTCTCTTCCTCTGTGAAGCTTTCCCTGATTGCTTCAAGGCTGGATGTGTGGCTCTGCAGCCTCTGTGTCATATTTCTATTGCATATACAGGGGTTGATCACACTGTATTGTCTCTCACTAGTTACTGAGACCGCTAGTTACCAATCATTATCCAGGTTCTCCCTGCCCCAGCAAGAGAATGCTGATTTCCCAGCTCCCTTGCAAGACAGGAGTGGTCAACGAGATGCAAACAGAAGCTGATGGGTTTTGGGGGTGCTTGATGATTCAGCTGGCAGGTACTCTGCTGCTCTCCTCTCCTTCCTCCTTATACGAGCCAAGCTGCATTGCCCACCTTGCAACCATGGGTAAGCTTGAGGCTGGGGAGACCATGCTAAGGATGGCAGAGAAAAAAACATAGCAGGAGCCTGGGATGTTGGTGACATTGTGAGGCCACTGCACCATCTCTGGACCTTTGTCCCCTGGCTTTAGGTTACATGATATTCAAATAAATCCCTTTCTTCCCTTCCCCTTTTCTTTCCTTCCTTCCTCCCTCCCTCCCTCCCTCGCTCCCTTCCTCCCTCCCTGTGGCTCTCTCTCTCTCTCTCCCCCTCCCTCTCTCCCTCTCTTCTCTCTTCTTTCTCTCTCTCTTCCTCTCTTTCTTTCTTTCTTTTCTTTCTTTCTTTTAATAAATCCCTTTCTTATTGGAGCCACGTTCCCCCCTCCCTGAGAATCTAACAACACAGTGCCTCAAAGGCAGGACTGTCTTTTACTCATTGCTGAATCTATGTGCCTGGCACAGAGCCTAGCAGATGCTTAATAAATACTTGAGGAAGGAATGAAAGAACAAATCCTTATTCTTTCTGTTGCAGAAGGAATCGGAGCTTGCATATCGGGCCTAAAATTGCCTTCTTGGAAACTCTGGGAAACCACATCAGGTTAAAAATAAAGACAGATCTTTTAAATTTTATTTTAAATTAAAATGTCACAGTTGTAACTGAAACCAGGATAACATTATCCTACCACTGGACAGAAAATAGGTGCTAAATGAAGACATGTGTCACTCCTGCTTAAAATCCCACAATAGTTCCCCATGGTTCTTAAAGTCTTAAGTTCCTAGCGTTTTCTGTTTTTTCACTGTTTTTTAAAAATTTTTATAGTGATAACTGTAGATTTACATGTAATTATAATAAATAATAGAGATCCCATGTACCCTTTGTCTAGTTTTCTCCAATGCAAACTATAGTACAATATCATAACCAGAAAACTGACATTGATACAATCCACCAATCTGATTCAGTTCCCAGTTTTTGCTTGTATTCATTTGTGTGTGTATGTGCACGCATATGTGTGTGTTTAATTCTTTACCATTTTATCATGTGTAGGTATCCACATATCCACCTCCACGGTCAAGACACAGAATATTTCCATCACCACAAGGATCCTCTGCATTGCTCTTTTATACCCACACTTACCTCCTTCCTGCTGTGCCCTCTCCCCCATCCCTGACCCTGGCAACCGCCAAGCTAGTCACCATTTCTAAAATTTGTCATTTTAAAATGTTCTATAAATAGGGCGCCTGGGTGGCTCAGTTGGTTAAGCGACTGCCTTTGGCTCAGGTCATGATCCTGGAGTCCCTGGATCGAGTCCCGCATCGGGCTCCCTGCTCGGCAGGGAGTCTGCTTCTCCCTCTCCCACTCCCCCTGCTTGTGTTCCCTCTCTCGCTGTGTCTTTCTCTGTCAAATAAATAAAATCTTTAAAAAAAATGTTCTATAAATGGAATAACACAGTATGCCACCTTTTGGGATTGGCTTCTCTCCCTCAGCATAAGTCCCTGGAGATCCATGCAAGTTGTTGTGTGTATCAATCTTTCCATTCCTTTTACTGCTGAGTAATTGCTACTCAGCGGTATGGATGGACCACAGTTTGTTTAACCATTGGCCTGTTGAAGGACATCTGGGCTATTTCCACGTTTGAGCTATCACAAATAAAGATGCCTGTGAACATTCATGTACAAGTTTTTGTATGAACATGCCCACTACCTTTTGAACCCCTTCCTATGACTGAAGTGTTCCCTCCCTTATGAGTCCTGCCTACTGAAGACAGAAGTCAGAAAAACTCATTTTCCCAACTTGCATCCGAGGCACTTAGGCTCTGTCCATCAGACACAGCCACATGGGAATTTGTTCACGTATGAGCTGTGTGAGGAAGCAGGTACTCCAGAGAATCCATTTTTAGACCAGGATAAGTGAAGAGGGCAGCAGTTATGGAGGTCTGGGTGTCCATGTCACGGCAGCCAGTGAGCTTCGGTGACTATACCAGAGGGGGGTGGGGTGGGCAGTGGTGTCTTTGGTGAAAGTCCTGTGGGGAGGTTTGGGCATTGTTTTTGGTCCTATGGCCTCCCAGCGCCATTCTATGACCCTCGTAGAGAGGTGAACTACCTAATCTTTTCAACATTTGTTTTCTGCTTAAATAAGCTTGAGTAGATTCTGTCATCTACAACTAAGAACTCCCACCAACCTCCCTCTCTAGCCTCATTTCTAGCTGCTCCTTATATGCAACGCTCCAACTATCCTACACTCCTTTCAGTTTCCCAAATATACCTTACTGGCTTCATATACTTTCCCGTTTACGACGCGTCTCATGTTGTATTAACGCTGTTTACTTCTCTGGCCATTCTCAGAACTGTGAATGCATCCCCAGCCTCCGTCACACTTCTACTGCCCTTAGGATACGATCAACCAATATTCAAATGATTGCTTATCTTTATCTTTGATGACATAAGAACAATGCCTGTGACCAGGGTCCCTTTCGCCACTCCGAACTGAAGTTTCATAATCTATAAAATGGAGTAACATTGCTAAGAGAAGGACAGTATAAACAACAACAAATAATTAAGGAGATGCAAATCAAGACCACACTCAGTAGGATGGCTGCTACCAAAAAACCCCAGAAAACCAAGTGTTGGCGAAGATGTGGAGAAATTGGAATCCTCCTGCGCTGTTGATGGGAATGTGAAGTGGTGCAGCCACCATGGAAAACAGTATGATGGTTCCTCAGAAAGTTTAAAATGAAACTAATTGAAAGCAGGGTCTCCGAAGAGATGTTTGTACACCCATGTTATATCAGCAATATTCACTATAACTAAAAGGTGGCAGGAAGCAACCTAAGTGTCCATGGAGGATGAATGGATAAGCACAATGTGGTTTACACACACGATGGAATATGATTCAGCCTTAAAAAGGAAGGAAATTCTAACACATGCTACATGGATGAAACCTCAGGACACTATGCTAAGTGAAATAAGCCAGTCAGAAAAAGACAAATACTATATGATTTCACTTATATGAGGTAGTTAGAGTAGTCAGATTCATAGAGATGGAAAAGTAGAATCGTGGTTGCCAGAGAATGGGAGTTATTGTTGAATGGATACAGAGTTTCAGTTTTGCAAGATGAAAAGTGTTCTGAGGATGGACGGTGGTGATGGTTGCACAACAATGTGAGTGTACTGAATGTGCCACTGAACTTTACACTTAAAAATGATTAAGGGGCGCCTGGGTGGCTCAGTTGTTAAGTGTCTGCTTTGGCTCAGGTCCTGATCCCAGGGTCCTGGGATTGAGCCCCGTGTTGGGCTCCCTGCTCAGAGGGGAGCCTGCTTCTCCCTCTCCCACTCCCCCTGCTTGTGTTCCCTCTCTCACCGTCTCTCTCTCTCTCTCTCTGTGTCAAATAAATAAATAAAATCTTAAAAAAAATAGATTCTTTAAAAAAATGGTTAAGATGTAAATTTTATGTTATGTGTATTTTTTATGAAGATTTTATTTATTTATTTAGAGGGAAAGTGTGTGTGTGAGTGGGGAGAGGGAGAGAGAGAATTTTTTTTTTTTAAGATTTTATTTATTTAAGATAGAAAGCAAGAGAGAGAGCACGAGCAGGGGAAGGAGGAAGGGCAGCGGAAGAGGGAGAAGCAGGTTCCCCAGGGAGCCTGGAGCCCGAAGCAGGGCTCGATCCCAGGACCCTGGTGCCCAGGAGAGAGAGGTTCTTAAGCAGACTCCATGGTGAGTGAGGAGCCAGAGATGGGGCTCGATCTCACATCCCTGAGACCAAGAGCTGAGCTGAAATCAAGAATCGGATGCTTAACGGACTGAGCCACGCAGCGCCCCTGTTATGTGTATTTTAACACAGTTTTTTTTTTTTTTTTTTTTTGAGTAAGTAACAAATCACAATGAGTCACCATTTCATATCTGCTAGAATGGCTAAAACAGTATCAGGTGCCAGGAAAGATGTAAAGTGATTAGAGTTCTCATGTGCTGTTTGACCCTCTCTATAAACATTTAAAAATTTAAATATACACTTATCATGTGACCCTGCAGTTCTCAAGCCAGATATATACCCAACAGAAATGAAATGTTACAAAAAGACTGGCACACAATGTCAGAGCAGCTTTGCTTATAATAGTCAAAGACCACAAACAAGCTAAATGTCCATCAACACGTAAATAGGGGCGACTGGGTGGCTCAGTAGGTTAAGCGTCTGCCTTAGGCTCGGCTCATGGTTCCCAGGTCCTGGGTTCGAGTCCCACATTGGGCTCCCCGCTCCGTGGGAAGTCTGCTTCTCCCTCTGCCTCTGCCTGCTGCCCACCCCCCCACCGCTTGTGCTCGTGTACTCTTGCTCGCTCTGTCAAATAAAATATTTTTAAAAACACAGGTAAATAGATAAAAAAAACAAATTGTGATCCATCCATACAATGGAACACTCCTCAACGATAAAAGGAATGAACCACTAATACATGTAACAACATGGAAGGATCTCAAAACATTATGCTGAGGAAAAAACCCCGAGGTATAAAAGACTACATACTATATGATTTCATCTACATGAAATTCCAGAAAAGACAAATCTAATATGTGGTGATAGAAATGAGTTCAGTGGTTACCAGGGATAAGGCTGAAGGGAATGACTGTAAAGAGGCATGAAGGAACTTTCTGGAATGGTGGAAATAGTTTTATCTTGATTGGTGGTTTCATAGACGTATGCATTTGTCAAAAGTCCTTAAGCCATACACTTGAAATAGATCTAGATTATACTTCAATAAAGTTGGAAAAACATTAGTGGGACACAGTATTTACATATCAAACACTAGAATCCCACTCTTCAGCCTCAATGTCTCATATTAATGTTAATGTGTTTTGTACTCTTACATGCAGTAGTAAAATGATGAAGAAAAGAAAGAGAAATTGACATTTTTTTTTGAGAGTTCTCTTCAGTGGGAGTTACCAGAGGAGTCATCTGGATGGTACAAGGGAAAGCATGAGATTTGAACCCACGGCAATTATTTTGTTACCAAAATGAGAGCTTAGAGGGGGTTCTGCTTGGCACTTACACCTATGTGCTATCATTTGACCCTCAACACCCTAGGGAGTAAATTTCATTGTACTCATGCTTAGGATTGAGCAAAGAGTCTCAGATTTGCTAAATAACCGACTTGTCACACAGCCAGAAAGTGGTTGAACTAGGGTTTGAACCTCATACTCTTTTGACTACATACCTGGAAACTGGAACCCTGTATTCATATGCCTTGGGTCCTGGCCACCAAAACCTGTTTCCTTTGCTTTACA